GTAAATAGTCAGTCAAAACATATTGTTGGTCCTGTCTTTGTTCTGTGTCAAGAGGGCTGTTCTCAATTGTTGTAACATCTAATATTTAAACTAAGAATTGGAAAGTTGAGTTGTATCAATTCTAGTTGATTGATGTTGTCGACAGAGTTAATATTTTCCTTTCTAATTTGTTATAATTGGATTGACAACTTGTGCTTTTTTGCAAAAGGCCTTATTTATTATTTTTATATGTTTTATTTACTGACAACTTGTATTGTTTTCCAAGAGGCTTGATTTATTATTACCTTGTACTTTAGATTTTACATATTACATTTAATGTGTATCTGTATTCTACTGCATGTGACTGTTTGTCTCTGACATGATATATGACAATTTTTTATATCCAGCCCTATGGGGTGACTGTTGGATCAAAGAAATGTATTTTAATAACAACAATAATTGTAATATGAATATCTGAAAATTACCAGAGAACTTCCATATAATATTATTCAAGCTGCTGTCATTTTGACTTTCATCCAGTAATCTTTCACTGATGTCAGCAGCTGAGTAGAAATGGGTAGGCATACCACTGTTGGCACAGGTCGGGCATTTAAATTAATTGTCTTTATAGGAAACAATATACAGACCTCATGCTCAGCTCTAAAACTGCTCGCTATTGGAAGCATTACACATCAGTCACCATCTGTCACTAAACTGATACTCATACTGGACATTTTCCATTTTCTTATTTTCTTGAAAGAAATACAGCATTCTCCCTGGCTCCTCTGCTTCAGTCATCAGGTAAGTGTATGAAACCTGCCTCCCTGCTCCAGGAATAGAGTTAGCTGCAATGGACCTAACAAAGTAGATTTCATACTTCTTTCGATGATGGAAGCAGATCCAGCATATGTCATGTTAAAAACAAACCATCAAATAACATTCAGATTATATTATCTTTCATGTTAGTGTGTCAACCCTTTTCCGTGGGATGAACATATTTTATCTTGAACTGAAGTCCTCAAAGATGACGTTGAATCTTGTGCTGTGGGACTGGTGGAATTTCTTCAACATTAATTAACTGAAGAATCTTATGTAGGATTAGGGTTCCATCCCAGTTCCTTGGTTTGAACACAACCTGTTTCCTAGAAGACTGTTGTGGAAGAATGACTGCGTTTGTCACAGCTACTTCATTATCAGTGTCTGACTCTACTAACCATACAATATTAGAAAAGAATAGGTCGATCAATGGATTTATTTTCATGTCATTACACTGGAATGATGCAATTAAAACTGCTGGTTTTCCGCAATGTCTGGTGCATACAGACATAGCATCTATTAATGAGGCACACACAAGAGCTGCATGCATCTCACGTTCATGATTCTTGTTAGGTATGTTACGGTCTGCGAGGTTAAAATAGTGATCCAGGCTTTCCACTATAACAACATTAGACACATGAGCATGTTGATGTAGAGAGAATAGATGCTTAAAGAGATCCTGATAACCTGGTAGATACCTGAAAGTTAATTTTAAAACAAGTAACTTTATTATTACATAATAATTTTAAAATGGAACCAGCATCGCAATTATTAAAATTGATTCACTGATCTTGTGGTTCTGTTCGATTCTCAAACAATCTGTAATATTAGATATGACATTTTCATGGCTGTGCCTATTGAGATGTGACATGTGTCACATCTCAGAAAATAGAATCTTAAATTTGTAACATTTTTAATTCGCCTGCCATGTCTACTGCAGTACGTTATAAAATATCAATTTAATATTTAGTGTGCTAAATTGAACATCTAAGTATGAAAGTAAGTAAAGCCATCCCTGTAACAGGCCGTAAAGGCCCATAGGGTTGTGAGATGTTGAGGGTCCCTAATCCTTCCAGCCACACTATGGCCCTGGGGTCGACTCAGCCTCTAACAGAAATGAGTACCAGGAAATTGAACATCTAAATTACTTATTCTGACAGCATAAGTATTTGGAAATTTAAATGGCATGACAAGAGTTAAAAGAAATGACTTTATTATTAAATGGGAGACTTGTTGCTAAGAAGAATATTTTCCTGAAGAATGCTGTCTTCTGGGACGTGGTGAAATGTCGGTCCACACAAGATCTACACGGCACTACATCCCAGAAGACAGCATTCTTCATAGTCACTGCCATGAAATCTTACGAATATTTTCCTGTTTACAAAATATTTTCTCAGTAGTTCATATTGTCATTCCAAGTCAAATCAAAAGAAAAGTGTACCAACCTCATGTAGCCTCACAGATAATTAAGATATTATGCTGTTTCAATGTATGTAATTCAGTATATAAGATTTTTAACCACCACCCAGTGTGACTGATAAAAGGTGTGTTTTTAATTCTTCTTCCTTTACATATTTCGGTCAAAACGAACATCATCTGAAGGATATTATCAACACATATGGAAACTACTACAACCATGTCATAGATATAGATCTTTTAACTAATACTAAGATGTACATTGATTTGTTAAAACATATAAAAATTATTAGAATAAGTCTGTTTACAAAGCAGTATATATAATATTTATATCTATGACATGGTAATAGTAGTTTCCATGTGTTGATAATATCCTTCTGAAGATGGCTGTTTTGATCAAAACTTGTAAAGGAAGGAGAATTAAACACACAACTTTTATCAATCACACTGGATGGTGGCTAAAAATCTTATATATAATTATTAGTGTGATGGACTGGTATGAACCAAGATCTGTAATTCAGCATAACTGAAAATCCTATATAATAATTAATGGTTACTGATATGGGTCCACTGTTAATGCGTATGTCTACAAATGCATCTGAAGACACAGTATAGTGTTGTTACTTTAATGCCTTATATTTTATGCCATCAAAATGTAGAAATAAATCCACCTGACATGTTGTTACCATAATTATCATACACAACAGAGCAAATCAATACAAAGTTTCCCTTGAAATGTCTTGACTGACAAAATTATACAGTCAACATTTATGTGAAATGTTCAGTTGGTTTCCATATTCATGTAATAAAATATAATTATTTCTTAAACAATTCCTTTTTTCAGAATGTCCCACTCCATCAAAATGTAACTGTTGATATAATACTGACATATGGTAAACTTACATAAATCTGATATGGCTTAAGGCAGCTGTACTTGGAGGTGACACACCATGGATTGGAGTTGGCAGTGCACTGAGAGTAGTTGATGAGATGTACAACACTTTGGTACCTTTCTCAGCAAAATGCACTGCACACTGCAAACAAGAAACAAATGACATCATACCATAGCCCACAGTCTTCTCTTGTCAATCATCATTCAATTAATATTTCATACTCATCCATCACAATGCTTGAAAGTAAGCACCAGACACACTGCCATAGCTCCAGTCCTCAGATGTGGACTGACTTCTGACCCAGCAATTGGTTGTACTCAAAGAAGTTAACTTAACCTATGGGATAAGAGATTATGTAGTAGCCTGATGGGCCTATATTGAGACAGACAGGACATAAAAGCCCACCGCACGACCCAGGAGTAAGAGAATTATGTTCTGTCTTCTTCATGGCCATAGATGCTCAAAAGCAGTCTTGAGCCTCTAGTAAAGTGCTGAATCCATCCATTTCCCTGGCCTGACACATAAAAACCTGAGAAATATTGTGGCACATAAGCTAGACAATGCATATAGCTGATTCATTCATTCATACATAGCTGATTCCAAGAAAACATTAAACATTTTACTGAATGGAAAGGGCAAAAACTTCTTTATACCTGTATTTCTCCATTTTTTGTGGTCTGCCAGTGTTAGCCAGACAAGAGTATTTGTTACCTGTAAGGTGATGACAGAGTAGATCAGAAAGTTTGTGTTCGGTCACATAACCATCACAAAAGGTTGAATTCTGTGATGCATTTGGGTTAGGTATGTTAAAATCTCTTCTTTTACTTGCTCTGAGAGAATTCTGTATTTTGCTAAAGTGAGCAGAGCGTAAATGTTCCAAGTTCCATAACTGACTAGTATAAACCATTCGATAGGAATGTTCAGTATCTGTTTGGACCTACAATTTACGGCCTAAGGCTAATCACAGACCAAAACCAATGACCACTGGTATATGTCGATGAAAACACACGAACAAGTGCTGCAATACACCCAATCTGATCATTAAAATAAATGACCGTGGCACATGTGGCGTTTACAGCGTACTTTAACACCCAAGGTAACTTTAACAAATCGTAATCTGAAGTTAAAAGGTGAACAATTATTGCAAATACAGTTTCTTACTAAACACAATCCTAAATCCACGCTAACAGAAAACGAGTGTTAAATGCAGTATTCCGGGAGTAGTTAATGCATACCTGAAAAAGCAATGATTTCTGAATTTCATTTGGTCCAACCAGCAATACTGAATATAAATTGTCAGATCTCATTTCGTAAGAAAAAAAAAACAACTCACTGAAACATACATCGAACTTCGAACACTATTACACACATTATCCACTCAAATAACTACGCGCGCTCTAGATCCTCTAAATCTCTAGATTCTACAGTGTAGAGGAAACAATCTCTGGTTCTACCTTTGGTCGATCCACTACTCTCGCACGCATTCACATTTCACATACTCCCCGCAAGATGGTGCCAAAAGTTACTTTGGTTTACACGGAGCCACATACCACATGTTCTAAACTTACGGTACATAGTCACGCTAATGAACCGTGGTTGTGAGCGTTGTGAGTTTTGAAACTACATTCATGCCATGTATGATGAGGAGCTTCATATTTTGTACCCTTCATTCATTATTACTAGGGTGATCAAATCTAGGTGGAAGTGGCAAGCTCGGGAACATGGATAATACACCCGGGAAAGATGAGAAATGCGTACCAAGTTCCAGTTGGCAACCCTGAAGGGAAGAAGCCACCAGGGAGACCTAGGCATAGATGGAAGATACTGTCAAAATAAACCTTAAAGAAAGAGGGTATGGGCACGTGGAATGAATTCATCTACCTCAGGACAGTGATCGGTGACGGGATATCGTGAATACGATAATAAAACGTTGAGAAATTCAAATAATTGCGAATTTAACTTACTGAGCTTTTCAAGAAGGACTCTGTTTCGCAGTTAGTTATCAATATCAAGACACGGAAATGTTGCTTAAAGTAATATTTACGAATTATTCACTGTTTCATTACGAAATTCCTTACATTTTTTATCTACGTTTGCTGTATAGGCTATTGTAATCAGCATCACGAACAAACAGAAGGGACAACGTTTAGGAATTTAAGATGACCATAAATACGGGTCTGATAAATATTTCGCTTACCGAAATCACGTTAGTGAAGCATCAGATTCAGATCGATACAAGTAGATATCGATCCACAAAACACCTGATGTTATCATTAATGTTGCGGACATATCAATACGGATTATGAATGTAACTGTTACCTTATTAAGCCTAAACGTTTTTCTGATTGAATTAAAGTGAAACTTTAATCGTGTGCTTCTTTTAATATTATAGTTTTTAAATTATATTTAAGATGTGTGAATCAGGATTCTCTAATTACATTAGGAATGTGATGAAATGTGTTTCTGGCGCGGCGCTGGGAGCAGTTCGATTGCCAAGTCCTGGAACCAGGAAACAACGCAGAATACGTAAGTATCTGATTCTGCTTTCCTTCAAACATATTTTAATGTACTGTTTTGACAGTGGTGTACGGCGCAAAGTTTTGTCCTGCACAAATCCTACAGCAGGAAGTAACAATAATGTAGTAGAACTTGGGAATTAGTTTAGGCCTACTAATCTTTCGCATGTAGTGAATAGTTGAGTAAATTCTGAGCAGAAAAAAGATTTCAGCAATATAATATCATGCTAATTTTATTATTTATTTTTATTCTTAGAGTGCGGTGTCTGGTAAACTTTGTGTTCACGAGAGGTTATGAGAACGTTGCGTATGCATTCCCCATATGGTATTGTCTTTTACTCCATTTCCTTATTCAGTTTAGTCGGTTTATCGGAGCACATATTTGTCTCGTGTTTCTTTCTTTGCACTAAGTGCATGGAAGAACGCACACTAAGGAGGAGAGGTATCTGTTTCACCTCCGAAGCAACTGAATGGGTTCGAACAAATGTGGCATTCAGGATAGACGCCAAAGTTATCAGGAGAGCTTAATTTTGGTTATGTCGCTGTCGAATCTAACCCCTACCTTACAAGATGCTCAATTCTAACTTATCAACATTCCATAAAAGAAAGCAGGGGAAAGAAAGAAAGAAATAAAAAGTGATGCAAGGATAGAAGAAATGCTCTTGTTTCTACTGCCACGTCACACTCAAAATGGACAGAATCATATGCTACTGCAGGACAGATTATCCTAATTGGCCGGATTTTAGAACAGCAGTGCTGTAATTTTTGTTTCTCATATTGTCTTCCTTGTTCAGTAGAGTACTTGATCACATGGCTGTGGAGCAGGCAGACGTGAACTATTCATTGCCTAGAGGTTGTCACTTATTCATTGTCTTGCATAAATAAGTTACAGAAACCGTAATTACACACTAAACCGCCGGTTAGTAAGGCAGCGGCTGGGGAAGAGTGACAGTTACCCTCGCCACCAGGTGGGCAAACAAGAGACTATGCAAATCCTGCCAAGAAACAACACTGGCCTCATGAACAAATCACTAAGAAGTCTGACGGCAGCCCATGGACTATGAAACCAAATAAGAGACAGGCTCATTGATTGATTGATTGATTGAGTGATTGACTTGCAGGCAGGCAGGCTACCTAAGCAATGAATTCTCAGGTAGCTAAACAATTAACAAGGGCTGGCTGGCAGATGTATTAGGCACTATTGGTGTAACAAACTAGTGTGTGACTTTGTGAGGGAGGAAGAATTCTGAACAATAGTTAAAAGAGACCACATACTAAAATCACAAAACTAATTAGGCTGATTATGTATTTTGGTTCCATAATTAAGCAATCCTTTAGCAGAAGGAAACATATTTTGCGTTGTCACAGATATTATGGAGGGAGATCTGATTTCTAAATAGAGATTTAATGCTATTCAAACATTTTGCTTGAGATAAACATCAGTTTTGGCCACACCATTCGTGTAAGGTGCCTGTCTAACCCAGACTCACATACAATTTTGTAGCGCATCTTTGTCCTTTTCGAAACGCAGTGGGTCTTGCCGACACTCATCCTACTCTGTGCGATTCAAGCACCTATCCCACCGAAGTGGGGAAATACTGGGTTAGATCCTTGGCCGAGTGTTTCGGGATAGTAAATGCACTGGGACAGGAATATTTGTCGGCAAAGATAATCACTGCAATACCTACTCAACCAAAGCTACTAATTCTTAAACTTTTGCTCCTATTCGTAACTGCAACGAACCACATATTTAAGACAGCTGTTCTTTGCGGTCATCTTCTATTCCGATTCGTGAACTCTTGCTGACATAAGTAAATTACATAAATAAGAATGCAATTAAATTTGGGCTGCCTGAAGGCAGGAGGCCTGAGGATCCTGGCCCGGGCATGGCCGAGGTATAAAGCGACATAACGCTTACTTCCCAGATGATGAATATTTAGTTAAATACAAAGCAAAATATGCCGTTACCGTTCAGTGACATCTGCACGGCGATTAGCATTGCAACAACAACAACATTGTATCTGCAACAGTCGATCCATATTCTTCTTATTCCTTCGACATTACCACTCTTTTCTTTTTAAGTCATCTAATAACTAAGGCTCCCCCTTTATTTGTGTCTCCCCAAGATCATCTTCACCGGTTTCCTCCATATTCTTCCTATTTCAGTGTGCCATCTTTCTTAACAAGTTGTTCCCATCTTAATCTCGGTGCCATTTTCTTAACAATTTTTCCAATCTTAATCTTAGTGCCATCTTTCTTAAAAAGTTGTTCCCATCTTAATCTCGGTGCCATCTTTCTTAACAATTTGTTCCCATCTTAATCTCGGTGCCATTTTCTTAACAATTTGTTCCCATAATAATCTCGGTGCCATCTTTCTTAACAAGTTGTTTCCATCTTAATCTCGGTGCCATTTTCTTAACAATTTGTTCCCATAATAATCTCGGTGCCATCTTTCTTAACAAGTTGTTTCCATCTTAATCTCGGTGCCATTTTCTTAACAATTTGTTCCCATCTTAATCTCGGTGCCACCTTTCCTAACAATTTGTTCCCATCTTAATCTCGGTCTTTCTCTTGGGCGTTTTCCTTCCGGTTTCATATTCAAAATCATCGTATATTTTCTCGTATTAATTGATTCCCAGTGCATTCGTATTTAAATCTTCCCCTCTGTTTTAGCTTCTTATTCTCTCTTCCATTCTCGGCTTTTCCTTATATACTTCTTAAAAATCTCCTCTCCTCTGCCTATGGTGTACTAATATCCGCTCATCTCCATACCCCTGTTTTCGCTTTTACATTAACACGGTAGAAAAAGGCAGTTGTCCCTGTTCTCAATTAATTAGGAACCATGCCATGAATGCTTAAGGGGGAGTTGGTACGAGTATTTCTCCGCCATTTCTTACCTCGGCACTTAATGGAAGTGAGTGGTCTTCTTCACGCCCAGACCGTTTTACCCCCGGAGATAAAGCTCCGGTACCGATGGTATAGGAAGGTTTGTGGGATTCAGAACCCGGTCTGGATGCTACGGAGAAGAGACAAATATTTTGCCCCTCTCGGCAATCGAACCCCGACCTTCGAGCTCGTAGCATGTCGGTATACCGACTTAGCTCAGCATGTCAATTTTTAAATAAGAACAGTTTCCCTTACTTTGACATTTCCTATTTAAACTAATTTCTGTTTCACACCCATTGGTGGAATTTCTTGTGTATATACTCCTATAGTAATTTATTTCTTGAGTTTGTCCTATTTCACTTCCAAAGCAACTAAAAATCTCAACTTTATTTTTTTCATAATTATCATGTTTTAGTATTTCTATTAGACATGGAACAATAATTTTATATCTGCGTTAAATGAAAGCAATCGCATCGAGAAACAAAATCAGAAAGAATGCATTAGGAAAATGAGTTGTCCTTTGTTACTGAGGGTGCGTATTACACGACAGAGTTGGATCTTATTAGTTGGCTGACATGTGTTATTTTCTCCTTCCGTTTCGTAACATGATTACTGCGAATGGAAAGAGTGCAACCACAAATATGCCCCGTCATGAAGGACCGCTAATGGAAAGTAACAATAAAGGCAACCATATCCCACACCACCTGTCTGAGAAAATGCACATATGCTACACTCTATTGTTACCGCTTCCGGTGCTACACATTTTCATTATGATGTTTCACGGTTTGTTGATTTTCAGATTTTTAATTTAAAAGGGAGTTTTGGCAATGATTTTTGTTCTTGTAAGGTTGATTTGATTTTTGCTTGTACGTTGGGCATATTCTAGTGAATGTAGGATTTGCGGTTTTCACGGCGGTGACTATGAAGAATGTAGCCTTCTTCGATGTGACGCCGAGCAAATCTTGTGTAAACCGACGTTTCGGAGGAAAGTAGCGCTTCCATCTTCAGGGTAGAAAAATTGCGAGCGAGGAACCAGCGTGAGCGACTGCTACCCACC